GTCATTGGGGATTGACACTACTTAAGAAGGATTAGGAGGTGTGGCCTAGTTGGAGTAGATGTGGCCTATTGGAGGAAGTGTATCTCTAGGGGTAGGCTTTGAGGTTCTAGAAGCCAATACCAGGCCCAGTCTCTCTTCCCACTGCCTGCAGATCCAGAGGTAGATCTCTCAGCTATTTCTCCAGCACCATGTCTGCCTATACGCTGCCATGCTCCCTGCCACAGGGATAATGGACTAAACCTCTGAAACTATAAGCAAGCAAGCTCCAATTAAACTCTTTGGTAAGAGTTGCCCTAGTCATGGAGTCTCTTCACAGCAAAAGAACACTGGCTAACACAGCAAATGTGTGCACCAGTCTCTATCTGTGTAAGACAATGTCCACCCACAGAGGCCAGAAGAGGGTATCAGACTCTGGAGCTGGAGTTACAGGCATCTGTGAACTACCTGATACAAATGCTGGGAACCAAACGCACCAGTTCCCTAGAGAAGCAACAAACCCCCTCCTTGGAGCCATCTCCCCTCAATACCACCCTCATTAGGTAGACAGATAACCTTACAAATGTGCCCCACTGGGGGAGATACAAATGGAAAGTCAATCAGTATCTTGTCTTTGAACTTTCATGCAGAGCCGATCCTGCCAGGTGCCTCCGAATTCTATAACTTGTACACAACACCCACTACATTCACAAATCACAATCACAAAGGAGGCAAACATGGCATTTACTTCATTTTTCACTAAAATTCATTTACCACCACCCCCTGAAACGAAAAATGTCTTAGGAATTCTGAAAAGGACCTACTTTTTAATGCAAATATAGGGATTAAAAAAAAAAACTGTCAGTGATATGATACTTTTCAAATACCCAAATCAGCTTCTCCCTTGGTATAAAACTGTTCTGTGGAAAACTTGAGATGTGTCATTTTCAGTCCTTACTTGGCAAAAAAGAATTGTGTTTGTGCCAAACCATTTAACAAGTGTTCGCCGCCCTTCAATCTGTCATGGGTTATGTTTAATAAGGTGTGTGATTCCACAGCCGCTCCCCACTAGGCTGAGTGGAGTTTGTCACCTGCCGAGTGGATACCATCACTCTTTCTAATAAGGAAGGATGGAGGAAGACTCTGTACCCACAGTCAGGGGCCATTTGCAGGGCGGGGAGGGGGGAGGAGACACATATTGAAGATGGTTCTCTAAGACTGAAGTCTCAGTTCAGTGCAACTGAGATACTTAACGGAATGGGTGGGAAAGTAAACCATACCGCAAATGCCATCGGACCTCTCTCTTCTCAAGTGCAATAAAAATTAAAGGGCCAGCAGTTCAGAGATGTTCAAAGGATTATCTTTCACCCTGAAGCTTCTGCATAAAATTTTCATCTTTAAGGATGAGGGGGCTGAGGTAAAGACAGGTAAGGCGCATTGTCTAACACCCAATCAAGGAAATAGAGTCTAGAAATTGAGTCTAGAAATAGAGTCTCTTATCTAAAGCATATCCTTCCTTAGAGCATTCAAAGTCCCCTACCTAAAATATCAATAATTACAGAACAGGTTATAAGATAGCCCCAAGGGGAGGGGATATAACCTACAGAAGCTGGCCAAAAATGTGAAATGTCTTTTAAACCACTGTTTACAATTCTTTTACATTTCTGTAGATTTTGTACTCTGCTCTATAAAGCATCTGGATGGCTTCATATCAAATCAGTTTTCCTCAAAATTGCTAGTCAAAATCAATGCTACACAGAGATGCCATGTTTGTTTTGTATTTTTGCATATCCCTAAAGCTCTAGATACCCCAATTCCAGTAACATGCCCTCTTTGAGTGAGATTACAGCCCCAGGTTCTCTGGCTTCCTTCATTACACCCTAGAGGAACCTTATCAAGAACATTGTCCTTCAAACACTATTACTTCACCCGAGTCATCTAAAAGCATGTCTTTGACAGGTATTCACAATGGAACAGTGCAAAAATCAACTATTCTTGTTACACAATTCTTTTTGAGATTTCATTTATTAGTATTGTATACATGTGAAGTGGGCACACACACACACACACATATATGGAGAGAGAGAGAGAGAGAGAGAGAGAGAGAGAGAGAGAGAGAGAGAGAGAGAGAGATCAGAGGATAACTGTGGAATTAGTTCTCTTTTTCCACCTTTATGTGGGTTCTGAAAATTGAGCTCAGGTCATCAAGCTGAGCCACCTTGACAGTCCCTACATAAGCCTCAAATGTCAACATTCCAACTAAAATGTTTGTCCTGTGTCTCATGTCATAATTTTGTGTAATGGCTGGTAAGGATGAAGAAAGAATGGATTCCCTTAAGATTTCATCTATAAATACATTGGTTGCTCATCCTATGAATTTGTATGTAAGAAATGCAGAAACATGATAGCCCAAGGTGACTATGACTTGATCAGGAACACAGAATCAGGTGGCTATTATAGATTCTGGTTCCATTTGATAGCTCCAAGCCTGTTGCCTTAGGGAAAAAAAGCAGTATTTTGAAGTAGGAGTCAAATACCTTATTCCAATATCAATTCATTCATCTCTTTTAAGTAAATTTTATCACAATCACACCATGATGTCTATAATTACTTTAGATACAAAATATTAGATACAAAAATGCATACTACTAATTATGTCATGTTACATATCTTATGTTCAGTCCAAGAGCTGTTATTCTAAAGCTTTATATGAGTCATGTGTACTACTTATCTACTCCTACAAAGTCAGGTAGGGACCCCACCTTTGCTGAACACACTAAGACATAGCATCTATGATGGTTAATCTTGTATGTCAGTTTGACTGGGTCATGAAGCGTCTATATACGTGATCCAGCGTTATCCTGGGGATGCGTCTATGAGGATGTTTCTGGATGAGATTAGCACTTGGACTGAATGAACAAGGCAGATGGTTTACTCCAATGTATGTGGGTCCCATCCAAAAAGTCAAGCCATGAATAAAACAAAAGCGCCTCTCTCTCTCTCTCTCTCTCTCTCTCTCTCTCTCTCTCTC